CCCCAAAACCCCAAAACCCCAAAACCCCAAAACCCCTTGCATTATTTTGATTATAGAAACAATCACTTAGTATTATAAATAAAAATGGGTACCATCCTTGAACCCCCAGGCGAGACACAAGATAACTCTATTATTTCTAGTAAAATAGAAGCCAGAAAGCTTAATCGGAAATACAGTGAAACCCTTAGCCTTCAAAATGACAGAATTTCTTCAGATTTGGAATGCAGAGCAAAGATAGTTGCTTCAAATAGTCTTATTAATCCTACTACAGAAAACAAAATTTGAGAGAATTCATCAAATACTGACGATGCTAACCCTAAGGATAACAATATTGAGGAGGTAGATGAGAAATCAGATAGTTCTAATGACGCCGATAAATTCCTTAAAGCTGCGCAAGAAAATGCGTCATCTAAAGCCTCTGATACCAAAGTTTATACAAAACTAGCCACTGAAGTATTAAAGATACAAAAAGGAACCCTTGATATGGAAAACCTTATGCCTAAAAAGACTGCAAATACCCCAGGAAAAGAGTATGAAATCAAGAGAGGCTACTATTCCAAGCTTGGAATTGACAGACCATCTAATAGGCCCTCTGCTTTCAAATTCTATCCACCTATCAAAAAGGTTATTAAAGAGGAAGAAGAAATTGGTAAATTAAGAAAGTCTTCATCATCAGAACTTAAAACAGATGCTCCTCTTGAAGAAAAGGAAGAAGAGGAAAAATCTACCCAAAATAAAAACACTACAGAGAGCCAAAAGATTTATGAAGAAGGAAAGATTGATGATGGAAAAGCAAACAAAAGTAGCACTGCACAAAACATTCTTGGAAAATCTAAGAGAAAGATTAAAGCAAGAGACAGGAATAGAAAATTAAGCATGCTCGATACTCCTAACCAAGTTCCTGTAGAGAGTTATGAAACCAAAGAAAGCGGAAACTGGAGGATTGACCTCCTTAATACACCTATCATGGCTCGATCAGGAGATAGAATTCGCCAAGATTTGTTGAGTAAGTTGACTTACAAATAAAATCTGGTTGACTCCTTCAGAAAAGCCTGATTCTCACCAAACTGTGTTTATTTACGACTGGGACGATACTCTCCTTTGTACAACCTTCCTTAACCCCACTGGGTTTTACGATGAGGATGTAGAAATTCCTGAGATAGCTATTAAGCATCTAGAAAAGCTTGAGAAAGCTGTCGAAAAGCTAATCACATCATCCGTCAAACTAGGCAAAGTATATATCGTCACCAATGCTGCAGAAGGATGGGTACAATTTAGTAGCAAAAAGTATATGCCAAAGGTTTACAAAGCTCTTAAAAATGTTGAAATCATCTCAGCACGAAGTCTTTATGAGCAACAATTCCCAGGCGACTCCTACGAATGGAAGATGCAGGCTTTTACCAATATTCAAAAAGCACTCGAGTCATCAATGATTACGAATATAATTGCATGAGGTGACTCTCGTATTGAGATGGAGGCTGCTCGCCACATCGCAAAGTTGTTTAAAACAGCATTCATTAAAACAGTTAAATTTAAGGAAACACCAACACCAGAAGAATTAATAAAGCAATTGAATCTAGTGATGCAAAAGCTTGAACATATATCAAGCGCACCTAGGAATCTAACTATCAGACTTGAACGTAAAGGAAAATAGTTCATCAATATTTAAGTTCCAAAATGGGGTTTTGGGGTTTTGGGGTTTTGGGGTTTTGGGG